CAATAGCAATAGAGCAATAGCAATAGCAATAGCAATAGCAGTTAGACTTATATACCGCTTCATAGGGCTTTCAGCCCTCTCTAAGCGGTTTACAGAGTCAGCATATCGCCCCCACAGTCTGGGTCCTCATTTCACCCACCTCGGAAGGATGGAAGGCTGAGTCAACCTTGAGCCGGTGAGATTTGAACTGCTGAACTGCAGATAACAGTCAGCTGAAGTGGCCTGCAGTACTGCACCCTAACCACTGCGCCACCATCTCCTGGTGATTGTCCCACCCAGCCAGTTTTCATGTCTAAAACGGGATTAGGATTTACCATCACCCGATGATTGGCCCGAAGTCACCCAGCGAACTTTCATATTTAGTGTGTGACTAGAACTCATCGTTTCCCTGTGACTGGCTCAGTCACCTAGCCCGCTTTCATGCCTAAGGTAGGGCTAGAATTCACCATCTCCTGGTGATTTGGCTCATCCAGCCAGTTTTCATGCCGAAAGCGGGATTAGGACTCACCACCACCCGGTGATTGGCCCAAAATCTCCCAGCCAGCTTTCATATATAGGGTGAGACTAGAACTCATCATCTCCCGGTGATTGGCCCAAAGTCACCCAGCGGCTTTCATGCCTAAGGCGGAACTAAAAGCTTCCTGTCTCCTGGTGATTGGCCCAAAGTCACCCAAGCTGGTTTTTATCTCCAAGGCAGGACTAGAACTCACCATCCCTCCCTTTGTAGCCTGATGCCTTAACCACCAGGCCAAATTGGCATTCCTTTCTGGGTGTGTTAATATATTACCGTGTGTGTGTGTGTGTGTGTGTGTGTGTGTGTGTGTGTGTGTGTGTGTGTGTGTAATGAAAGGCAGGAAGAGGCCTGCATGGAAATCCAAGGGAAGGAGATGGTCTTCAGGGCTTTTGACAGAGGGGGAACTGTTTTTAAAAGCAGGTTTGTAGAGGTTGTGCCCACTCTTGTTGTGAGCAGTGTCAAACAATGTGTCAAGAGTAAGAAGGTAAGGGTGAAAAAGAGGAAGGTGAGTGCTTGCAAGTCAACATTCTGCTTAGCCCTTCATCCATCCCGTGGGAGTTAAAAGTGTGTTACGCCAAAGAATGGCAATAGCTGGCCAGGGAATTCTGGGAGTTGAAGTCCATGCATCTTCAAGCTGTGAAAGTTGAAAAACACTGGCTCAAAGCATAATCTTTCAAATTATGGCCAGTTTTCTAATTTAGCATGAATATTTTGTTCTTTTGACTTGATCGCCATGATTCTATAATTGGGATTACAATTGTGTTAAGACTTTTTTTGCAGCTGCTTCACACTGCTGGCTCATGATCTTTGCTAACGCTCACACAGATCTTTGAACCCGTGACTTTAATGGAGTTAAGCATGGTGAACCTCCCGTTGTCTCCTTTAATATTAGTAACATCCAAAAGCAGAATCAAGGCGGTGTTCTGCTTAGCCCTTCATCCGTCCCGTGGGGGCTAAAAGTGTGTTAAGGCCAATCAAGGGCGATATGGCTGGCTGGGGAATTCTGGGAATTGAAGTCCATGCATCTGAAAGTTGCCAAGGTTGGGAAACTTTGATATAATAGGTGACATTTTTTCAGGTCCAATATGGTATTATGTCATCCAAAAGATAAGTGCATTATTTTGTCCCGTTTTTTTTTTTTTAAATGAAGACCTGGATTGTTATGAGTATTTTATGTTAAGGTACAGAACACACATTAGGCACTTTATACCATTTAAGCCACACAACACTGGTGTCAAAACGCATTATGCTCAAAGTCAAGTAAGATCTTCTCTTCCTACTTGTATTAAATACTAAACGATTAAAACTACTATACTGCTAATTTTATGTTTAAGAGTTCTTCCCCTTCCCTTCCGAGCATTTTCTTCCCAACTCCCCACCCCCATCCCCACCCTGGCCACTTTTCTCTCTCTCTCCCACCCCCCACCCCCCCCAAACAAATAAGAGCTTGGCTGCCATTAGCAATTGTGGCCAGCAACAGAAGCAATTTACAGTGGGATGGAAACGTAACCTTAATGGGAGAATGGAAAAACCTTCTGAATGCAGCAGGAACCCAGCTATTTTAAGAGCTGGCCTCAAAAATAAACTTCAGAAGAGGTGGAGGCAGGAGGCGCTTCCAAAATCCGTGGGAGGAAAATAACAAAGAAATAAAACAAGACAGGGATCTTTGCAGCCTCTGTAACCTCACCTCCTCCAAATGGGCGGATATGGCAAATTGGAGAATTCCCCCTGCCTCTTGTAGGCCTGGAACCGTGCACCAAGGCACCTCTGAATAATGAAACCAGGGTGGAAGGAAGCCTCGTCCAAATCCAACCGGCTCGGATCAGTTCGCCTGAACCGGTAGTGGGAATTGCAGGTGGCCTCGCCCACTCGCCCCGGCTCTACGGCATCCCATTTAGGCCCTTTTTTCGCCAAAAGCGCACACACCACGCGCTCACATGTGCGAACCGGTAGGGAAGGTAAGTCAATCCCAGAATCCAGCAATAATGAGGTCGGTCGCCCAAAAGCTGCCTAAGTTAAAGTGCTTTCAACCAAGGGAGGTCGGCTTCTCCTCCGTCTGTGCTTCCAGTCGGCTTTTCCTAACGCTCAACCAAATCTATCTTCCTGTTGACTCAGGCATAGCAGACAGTCCCTCCTTCTGTGGAGAAAGGCTTCTGCATAAACAGACCCCAAGTTCAAGGCAAAAAAGCTCCATCCATAGAGCGTTCAACCCCCCAGGTCTCGAGCAACGAAGGAGCTGGTTAAAACCCTGATCTGGAACCACTTTCGGTTCGTTCAAAGTTCCCAAGCAACGCAGCCCCCAGCGTCTATGCCAAGGGGACAGAGATATAAAAGGAGCTCATTCTTTAGCCCTCTGCAATTTTGGTTTTTTTTAGTGGGAGGAGGGGGGGGGGGGCTTTCCTTTTGTTGCCATCCTGTGGGAAGAGGGGAAAAGGACACGCAGAGGAAGCCCGATCCAGAAGTGGCTTCCTCTTGATTCCTTCTGGCTGCCCCACCGCCCTTAGATCCTAAATGGACCGCTGGGTTCCCCAAACGCCACGATGACTATCTCTGCAGCTGTAAGCAACCCCTCCTGGCTGATTTTAGAGAAAGCCACAGGTAGTCCTCGGCTTACAACCATTCGGTTGTAGGCACGGTTCAAAATTGCGACGGCATTGAAAAATGTGACTTACGACCGTTTTTCATAGTTACCACCTTTGCAACAGCCCCATGATCACGTGATCAGAATTCAGAGGCTTGGCAACTGGTTTGTACTTATGACCGTTGCTGTGACCTGGGGTCATGTGTTCCCCTTTTGCGACCTTCTGACCAGCAAAGTCAAGGGGGGAAACCGCGTTCACAATCCAGTTAGCAACTTATCAACCGCAGTGATCCACTGAACAACTGTGGCAAGAGAAGTCATAAAGTGGAGCAAAACTCACTTAACAATGTCTCACTTAACAACAGAAATTCTGTGCTCGCTTGTGGTCGTAAGTCGAGGACTACCTGCATCAGGACTGCTTGACTTAGGAGAACTGGGACCAGAATTTCCATTGCTAAGCAAAGCGGTGAAGTGAGCCAGACCCCTCTTACGACCTCTTTTGGCCATGGTCCTTAAGCGAGTCATTCCAGTTCTTAAGTGAGTCATGTGGTCGTTAGCTGAATCCGGCTTCCCACAATGACTTTGCTTGTCGGAAGTCAGCAGGGGAGGTCCTGACTGGCCATCACACAACCCAGGATGTCATGTGCAGCCGTTGTAAACAGCACCCGAATATGTCAACCATGGGGATGCTTTCACAGTCCTAACTGCGAGGACTGTTCATAAGTCACTGTTTTCAGTGACCTGGTAACTTTGAACGGTCGCTAAATGAATGGTTGTAAGTCAAGGACTACCTGTACTTAAGACAGAGACAGATCTACCGCCTCCTTTTTAAAACAGAGTCTGAGCCGGCTGATACAGCTGCACGCAAAGCCTCAGGGTGGGAGAGGGAGAATCCCAAGAAGAACCCATTAGCCCCGCCCCAAAGGCTGCAAACTCCGCTCCATTTAGGCTCCTCCTCCGGCCCACCGTCCCTGCTCTCTTCCAGCCCCAGCCGCCTTCCTTACCTGGCATGGTGAAGTCCTGAGTATAAATGATCTCGTCATCTAGGTAGTCGTCTCTTAAGTCATCGTCGTCCTCCTCGTTGTAACCATGGAGGTCTTCCAAGTAAGGCACCACCGTCATGCTCCTCCACCGATCCTTCGTCTCCGGGCTGGGCGGGATGGCGATGGGAGGCTCACACTGAGGGTGCTTTTTCCGAAACCAGCTGAAGGAAACCAAGGTTTTAGTGCTTTGGGACCAGGGACTTTTCACTGGTTTTCTGCAGGCTCAGTGTGTTTCTTAACCTTGGCCACTTTACAGTGGGTAGACTTCAACTCCCAGAATTCCCCAGCCGACTGACTTGTGCAAACAGTTCAACAGCCCCTTATTTTCTCCAAACATTCACAATGGCCTCGCTGGACTATTGTGAAAACCTGCCCGAGCTCTGGTTTTGGTTAATGGCAAAAAGAAAGGCATTTTCCACCCCATTTATTCTCAGAGACGGGTCAATAAAGCTCCACTGAGAAGTTGAGGTTGACACACACTGGTTTTCAAGCTGTGGCATCTCCTCAAGGTAACTGAATAAGCAGCCTTCGCTGTCCACAACAATACAACATCGCACCTCTTGGTGGAACAGATAATGCAGAGAGAAATCAAGGCCACCCTATGCTCAGTGGCATGAAAAGAAAAAGGAAAGTGATACCTGGGTTTTATTATTGTCTGTGATGGATATGTGTAGAAGCCCCAAAATATTGGACAAAAATACATACATGGTTGGAAAAGATGATAAAACAGCACATTGATCGAAAACCAGAAATATTTCTGTTGGGGATTGGACCTGAAATTTGTAGTAAAGGAATACCGTATTTTTCGGAGTATAAGATGCACCTTCCCCCCCCCCCCAAAAAAAAGCAGGTTAAAAATCTGGCTGCATCTTATATACTGAATACACCATTTTTAGCTGTAAACCCCGCCTCTTTTGCAAAAATGGCCGTGCATAGCCTTTAGGCTTCCAGAGTGGTCCTGAGGGCTGGGGAGGGCAGAAATGAGTGAAAAATGGGTCGTTTTTTGCTCGTTTTCACCCTCCCCAGCCTCTAAGAACACTCTATAAGGCTCCTAAAGGCTATGCGTGCCATTTTTTTGACAAAAAACATGCCCGTTTTTGCGAAAAATGGGCTATTTTTTGCTCATTTTTGCCCCCTCCCCCAGCTCCCAGGATCATTCTACAAGCCTACTAAAGGGTATACATGTCCTTTTTTTTTATTTTACAAAAAACAGGCCAGTTTTGGCAAAAAACGGGCTGTTTTGGGGAGGTCTGCAGAGTGCAAAAACTTTTTTTTGTAATTTGCCTCTTCAAAAGTTGGTGCGTCTTATACTCTGAAAAATATGGTACATATCTAGTTATTCACGTATTAACTGCAACTAGAATAGTATTTGCCCAACACTGGAAAAGAGAAGAGATACCTACTGATGACAAGGGGATTAGGAACATATTAGAATGTATAGAAATGAACAGATTAACGTTGGCAATTAAGGAGAAAGAACAAACTGAATATTATATGATATGGGAATTATTTTATCAATGGTTGGAGAAAAAATGGAAGTTGGAAATAAAAGGAGATTAAAGAAGAGTAGAAAATATGTTAAGATAGATGTAAACAATATGATAATTGTTAGTATTATGATGATGAGGACTATTATGTTTAATGTAATTATTATATTTTTATTAGAAGATATGTTAAGAGTAAAAAACAAACAGGTTCATTATACTCAACTGTTTAATATACTATAATTCTAAGATTACAAAATTAATATCAGTGTAAATGATGTTGTAAATTTTGATGGTTATTGCACAGAGATATTTGTACCCAGATGACACACTGTTTAAGGAAAGATGGAATGTTTATATTTAAAAAATAAAATGAAAACTTTTTATTAAAAAAAGAAATAAGGAAAGAAAAAGAAAAACCATTCAAGGCCTCGCCCATCATGATGGAGCCAGACAGCTACAGGTATGACTTACGATCACAATGGCGCTCAAAATTTCTTTCGCTAAGCGAGACAGTTGTTAAGT